ACCAATTACTGGAGTTAAAACCAGCTGATTAACATAGACTGGATACCTAATTTCTGCATTAATTCATTAATCATTATCAAGTATGATATTTCCATCTTAATTAAGAATTTAGACACACGTAAAAACCTGGCAGCTGCTTCACCTAGAAATGTAACAGAAATAATGTTGTAAGAATAATTCGTAACCAGAAGGGAAAAATAAATTTCTTATATTCAGCTTCCTTTCCCTGCTTGATTGTCTGGCAATGCTAGAGATCTATGCAGCTGAGACCCTTCTGCCACTCACAGCTCCTGATATAGTGTAACCTTGTACAATAGATCATGGTTTTGCACTGACAAAAGAGTCTGTGATACATCTAGATTAGAGGTCTGAATACCTGCATAACTGCAACTCTTACAAGGCACAATGGCAGCCTTTCCAAATAAAAGATTGAAGGTTTCAGTCCAAATAGTTTTGAGTTTGATTCCTTACTGAAAAGTCAGTAACTTTTTCAGAAGGAATGAATCCTTTTACTGATAAGGTAGGCCCTTGTCCACTAAGGGAATATTAGAAAATAAAAGTTTCTCTACACTTGTGGATTATTTAAGATTGTGTATTTCTTTGGGATTTTTTAAGGTTAAGTGCCAATAAAATCACTGGGATTTAAAACAGCAGTGAATTTTGGCTCAAGTCCATGGAATTTAATAACTTCAAATTTAACAAAAAGATTTTACTTGATGAGTTTTTCTGGTTGAACCAGATTAAATAGATCTTCAACTTCACCTTGCATGCTACACAAATCCCTTTTGTACTTCCTCATAAATTTGCTACAAGGTCCTTTACTTCACATAAGATAATCTCTTCTCTACATGCTTCAACATAAAAGTACCTAAATATTTTTGAAGCACAGGTTAAGGAAGAAAATATATGATTATATGATGCATTTTACATTATTTTCTTTGAAATATTTTCCATTCAGCAGCCCTAACCTCAATGAACAGTAATTTAAAGCAAGAAAACTGCACTGAAAGAATTTCTCTATGAATTTCCAAGAGTGACAGGTACTTCCATCTTGCATGCCAAAGTAAAGGAGGTTTTTAAGATTGCACAGTCCATCCATCTGTCTATCCCTCTCCTGCTTCCATTTTTTTAGTGTTTGGGTCAATTTCCTACACACTGGACAGAGGAACAGAAATCACCACTGACTTATCTTTGCCTCTCATAACAGCACAGAGGAAATAGTTTCCTTTATAACATTCACCCTCTCTGCCCTCAGAAACTTACTGGAGTACAAAGACAAACTATGTTAAATGAAAAATCAATAACAGCAGTCAACAAAAAGCAGCAAAAATTGTGTGTTGCCATTACACACACCCCACTTTGAATACTGTGATAGAGGAGATACTCAGGTGGGTGGAAAAGTGTCATAAATACTGACAGTATTTTAGTAGAAGCATTTATGAAAATATACTTAAAAAAAATGTGGTATGTAGCTTATGCTACTACAAAAATCTGACCAGACATTAAAGGTTTTGTGGAAAAGGCATGCCTTGTCTGAAGTTACTTATGAATTAATGCATTTCAGATATAAGAAAGGATTTTAGATTTATGGTTCTAAAATTTGTCACAGCTAAGTCCTCCCCCCTGTTTCAATTTGAGGCCTACTGGCTTAAAGGTGGAAATCACTTCAAAATACTTTTTATAAGATTCTGCTGTGAAAAGAATTAAGTCAGATTTCCAGAACTTGAGCTTTGGATCAGCAGAGCCTCAATATTAAAATTATATGCTTTATGATTATAAGCAAAATAGAATTAAATAATATAGGTCAGATACAGTGGATGAGGCTCTGCTTCAACTGAAGTCAGAGAGACTCTGGCAACATCTAAACTTATAACCAAAATTCTCAGGGCCTCTTTTATATCCCTGAGATCATCTGGCAGCATCTGGCCACAACCCCTCTGTGAAATGCTCTGGTGTTTTAAACAGAATAGCACAACCAAACCACTCACTGGGAACAGACCTGAGCTGAGTCTATCATCTTGACTGTGTCCAGGATTTTTTCTGTAGATTTTAACCACTGTGGAGCAAAAATTGCCAGAAATTATTTCAACAAGCCAGCAGTATGATTCAGGCTCAGTGCCCAAATCCATCCTCTACCACTCATTTTATATGTCATTGATGAGCCTTGCTCTGATTTAAATCAAGAGTACTACCCATATTCTCAGATATCAATAGGATTATTTTTAGCCTTTTAACCATGTTTTGAGTTTAAAATAAAGACATAAAGATAATCCAGACATATAGAAATTATGCTGGTTTTACTCTGTTTCTAGTGGTAAGTGGCTATTTTGATTTTGTGATGGTGCACAATTTTCTAACTCTATATTTGTGCGCTTCTTTCCCCAGTCTGCTATTTATGGCTCTGCTGTAGCAAATGTCTCTCTCCCCTTACCCCTTACTCAATTCTGGTACCATGCTTTCTCCCTAGAAAAAAATAAAGAAAAGCTACGCACAAATGAATAATGAATAGTTAGTAAGACTAAAACTTAATATATCACAAGTATGAACAAAGCGTATTAAAATTTCTCATTTGTTTTGATTGATAATTAAATATTTGACATTCCAGCTGCCCAGCCACATAAAGCAAGTGCCCTCTGCCTCAGAATGTGATTCCAGAGGGGTGACTGCAAAATTTACCTAAGCAGCAGCAGCAGATCTATTTACTGTTTGCACATCCTACTATTTTGAGGTCTTCAGTGAGCTGAAAATTGGTGCAATACTCAAGAAATTTGACAGAGGAAAACATATGCATGTTCTATGATACACACTCTGAAGGCAATGATAAAATAATATGCTTGACTGACAATAAAAAAATGCAATGAATAGAAGTAACCAAACAAATTGGAAGCACAACATTTTTATATATGAGGTATATGTTACTCTGTCAAGACAATTACAAAGAAATGCAAGTTACTATGGCAGTCTTAGGGAACTTATATAACAGCTGAGTAACTAGCGGTTTGCTAGCTTTTCCCAGGCTACAGGAACTTCCTCAGAAGACTGAGGAAGGCCTTTAGTCCCAGTCTTGAGATTGTTGCAGAATATGAAAGGAAGCAAGAAGCAAGTGAGCTAACAAGGATCGGTAGGTCCCTCATTAAAAATATGTTTGGAGAATTATGTCTAAAATACAACCCCTAAATCCAGAGAGTGAATTTATAAGGATTTTTTTTCTAATATTCCTTGAGATTGATTTGGACATATCAGAAGAAAACCACTGTACTGCAATAGTGGTAGAGAACATAGGTCATTAAAAGACCAAAATAATTTAGAAATTCCTTGAAACAAATAACAAATTTACTTCAAATCAGTATAAGCAACTTCATGTAAAAAGCTTAAGGTGGTCAAGGAAAACATGTAATATCAAGCTGCTCTTACAAAAAAAAAACCAAACAAACAACACCCCCCCCCCCCCAACCCCCAAATTAATAATGTTCATTTTGAATTGCAGATTTTTTTGGTAGAAATAAAAGATTATTTAATAAACATTTTTAAAAATTTGCAGTATTTGGGGAGATACGCTACGTTTTTCATCACATGATACTTAAAACATTAAGTGTAGAGACCTGACTGTAGTACCAACTCAGTACTAGCTGGTACAGTTTCCTGCTGTTCGATGTTAGTGGTGATCCTCATATATGAGAAAATAGCAGAAAAGCAAAATTGAAGGAAATCCATAATTCTTCATCCTACAGACACTCTGTCAGTTCTAATAATTCATTCTACTAACTGAGAATTGATTGTAAGAAAACTATTAAAATTTTAATGCTATAATTTGTGAATGTTAAAATCTCAACAAATACAAAGGGCTGAAAATAAAATGGAAAGCTGACTATTAAATGAAACATTTTGAATAAAAGCATGTTTGAGAAAGAAGAAATTTTTTATGTTTTTGAAAAAAGGTAATATAAAATTGAATGATCTTCCTTAAAAAATACCATTATGGTTATAAACATTTATTTACAAGTAATAAAAATATTTCTCACCTTTGCAAAGCATTCTTTTAACAGGAGTTAGCATTCCTGCTATGCCTCCTTGCAAACAACATTAGAACCATAAACAATGTTGGAATTGCAAACAGAGTCCCTACTGTTCAAACGAATTTGTCTATGAATAACAATTGGCAGCAGCTAATCCTTATGGTAGGACCAAATCATCTACTTTAGGCACTTTATTTGTACTTAACCTTTAGGTGGACAGATAAGCATCCATTTAAATTAAGTGCCTGAGGTCCATTGCAGTCTGACAAGACAGCTACCTGCCTTAAGACCTGAGAAGGCAAACTTTTCTGACTAAATTTATGCACTAAAGTTATGTAAAAACACTCCTCATCTGAGAGCTTTTAAAGGCACCTACCTCTTTTCCTTAGGATACAGTAACTTTAGGCTTTTGCTTTAGCAGGACAGACTCCTAAAATTTAGGGAGAACTTTTATGAATTTGCTTCATATCCATTGCATCTATTTAGGATATTCTCCTTGCTTGAGTTTTTGATTGATTGTTTTATTTTCTTGAATAAAAAAACTAATTGCCTGATGCTACCTCAAACTGTACTTGGGAACAACTAAGACTTCTATCATAGAAACCTGCAATATTTGGTATTACTTAAAAGGGAAGTGCCCTAAGATTAAAATGCCTTCTTTTTATATAAATTTTCAATAACAAGAAGTATTATCTGTGCATATAAGATGATTTCAGAAGGAAGGTTAGGAATATGTTAAAAGTACAACCATATTATTTCCTTAGCAACAACAAAACCCACTTCATTTGTGTATAAGTCAGAGTAAGACCTGAAGGGAAAAAAAAAAAAAAGGCAGATGGCCCAGAAAAATCTTTATGTTTTGTTATGTTCACCCTATACTGGAAGCATCCTTCTGCAAACAGCAGTTACTAGAGAATCTGTTCTCAACCATACAGAGCATCACAGCAAAGGATAGCATCAAGGCAATCTATGAATGAACAAATGAATGTCTCATGGAAGCTTTATTAATAGATAAAAAAACCCTAAGGCAAGTTATCTAAAACTGAGAGGAGGCTTTTTAGCAGAGTCTAAAGCTTTTCAGTGGATCTACCATGATATTTAAATTCATACTTAACATCAGCTTGTGCTTCACTAGGCCTACTTAATATGCTTAGAGCCATGTGGGTGCTTAAGTCTTTTCCTCAGTCTGAAATAGAGCACTTATTGTTTTCTCAGAGCTAAACTCCCAGGCCTCAAAAGAACTTGACTGTGGAGCTATAATTTTTCAAACATATAGAAGCAAGATAAAAACTCAATTCCTATGGCAGTTGTCTTCAATAATTAGTTCTTTTCTACAGGGAAGGCTAGTAGAAATTGTCTGTGTGCCCAGCACTTTTGAAAACAGACTTAGAGGCCAAATTTTGGACACACACTTTTCAAATGGCATTCCATATTTCTACCTAATAAGGGGGAGTATGTATGACCATGGCAGCAGAAATCAAAATGACACCACAAAAAATATTGAATGAATATTCATTTAGAATTTTAGATTAATGCTGAAGATGACAAACTGATTCAGTTTGACTTAATATTTGTTATCTCATAGATTCAAAATGTTTAACGGATTGTGGAAACTCTTAATGTTACAGGTAACACAACTACAGACTTCTTATAAAATCACACAGTTGAAACATTGTGAATGAAATAACTACTTTCTTTAAGAAAATAATTTATTTTCCATAGTCACAACATATAATCTAATATCAGTTAGTGTACATATATTTTCTTGCAATACTCTGACTGTCTATAAACACTGGATCCACAGATGCCACTTTTGCTGCTATAAAGGAGTGAATACAGTGTAAAACTGCTGTCAGATCCTGAAATTCAAGCTCCTGAAAGAAGAAGTAAAAGGGAAAAAAAGGAAGAGAAAATGTGAATTCATATTCAGGTTTATAAACATTTTACATAAATGCAGAACAGACTAATCAGCAAACAACAATTGGATTTTAAATAAAAATTTGAATCTTTATACGGAACTCTAAGCTTTAAGAATAAAATGTGCACATCTGTACCTTGTTCACTGGCAGTGACATATGTCAATTTAGTTTTCACTCTGTGTCTACTATATTATTTATATTTTACTCAGCTTGGACAATGAAAGCATTCAACTTGCAAGAACATTCAAATATTGCAACATATTTTAAAGTATTTAATAAGGTAAGGATGTCTGGGGATGACGCAGTATCAAACCACAGCCAGGGAGGGGAGAAGAACACATGCTTTGGCAACCCCTGACAGAGAGTCAGATAAGCGGGGCAGAAGCTAAGGTGAAGTCACACCACAGCCTCCATATAGAAATATGGCTGGGTATGAAATTCATATACCTTAATTCAGAAACAAAGGCAGAGTTACTCCTAACCAGTTCTCAGATTCCCTTGACTTTTTATAACATATTTCATGTTCTGTGCACAAGATGATAAATTTCTTTTTCCCAATCTCTCCAGACAGAAATGGAGTAATATTTTGATACAACAACACAAATATGATAAAAGAAACAAGCTCAATTTACATTATACTACTATTTGTAAAGTCTGCTGCTGATAAATCTATTGTGGGGCCACTTGGGACAATTTTTGGCTTAGGGAGAAGACATTTATTTTCAACAGCATTAAAATAGTAGTTTATCAAGACATAATCCATATGCTTGCCTTTAAACAAAAAGCAAAGTACTGGACTTCTGCTTTTCTTATAACAGTATTTTACAGTATCTTCTCAACAAAACTGCCTCAAAAAGAATATTTGGAATTTAAGGTTACTATATTCTGGAAAAACTCACCATTGCAATATCTTGCTGTCTAAGGCCATGTATTTACTAGGCAGGGGTGGGTTTACTACTAGCAAATGTCTTAAATTGTTCAGTGATATTTGTGGGGCATGATTTTTTGAGGCTATATTGGACATAACTGGGAATTTTTATTTTTATTTTTTTTCTGGGGTGGGGGGGGAGCTGCCGGAGCTTCTGCGAGGACACTGTTGGTTCCGTCAGGATCCAACCCACCCACCACAGGGCATGGATAAGCCAACCCTGCAGCCCAGGTATGACACCCCTGCGAAAACACGTATAAGAACAGGCAGTAAATTCCCCGAAATTCACAACAAAGCCAGTGTGCTAGGATATGATCCATGGCAGAGCAGGTAACACCCCTGAAGAGACTGAAATGGATGAAGGAGCCACTCTGGAGCAGAAGAAACAAGTAAGAAGCAAGGAGCAGCAAAGGCAAAGAGAAACAAGGAGTGTCAGAAAGAAACTGTTACACCCTGACAATATTTGAGGGATCTAGTTCATGATAATGACATTCTATTGATTTTTTCTTTAATTGTACACAGTTTCTTTACGACCTCAGGCATATACAACTTATTGTCTCAGGGACTTTATTTCCCACTAAGCAAATTTATTATTCCCAGGAAAATGTAATTTTCTGTTACCATCTATTCTCTGCAGTAACAATAAGCAATGTTACTGGACAATAAGAGTAATAAAATGATATTCAACAAGTTCCCAAGATACACTCTTTCCATGGTGTTACAGGCCTTATAAATGTCTTTATTCTCTACAAAACGTCCACAGAAACTACAGGGAAATACCTCACATACCTTTACATCCTGCAAATAATCTGTACCCAGAGATTTTTAGGTGCATGTAATCATTTGTCTTGTGTGGGTTATTATCAGACAAACAAATTTTAACTCCTTCCAGAACCTAGAAACTCAAGAATTTCTCAAACAACTTTGAGAATGTGTTAACATAACCCTCTCCTCCCTTCAAAAATTCTTCTCTGAAATTAACTGTTTTTCCTAAAACATTCAAAAAAAGCAAAATCAAACAAAACCATCTGAATTCAGAAACAATGCATAGCTATTTTTGATGCCTACAGTTGAAGTAATTAGTGATTTAAACCAGATTATTATAAATTGCTAAATTACAAACTGACACTTCCAAGATTATAAAAAAACAGCAAACACGAAACAACCATAATTAAATCCTAATAAAAAAACAAAGGCATAAATTGATATAACCAATAAGCAAAATGTTCTATTTGTTATCATTTATACCTAGTTAAATAAGGAGAAAAAAAGGTAACATTGAGAGAAGTGGCAAAACTCTCTTAAACCTCTGCTTTTGAATACTTGCTAGTCAACAAATTAAGAAGTAATCATACTAAAAGAAGAAAAATCTCTTGAGAACTTGTATCAAGCTAAACACTTAGATAACTTAATAACTGGCATTTGGTTCCTGAATTAATCATTTGGGCCTCATACTCAAAATTAGATCTCTTTGTAAAAGAAAAATGAAGCATGAATGTCGGTTAAAATCCTTTGAGGAATTTAAGCCCATGTAATTTTTATTGTGATCCTTTTGGGGCACAAGAAAATCTGCTTTTTCTATTTTGCTTGATAGTTATGGAACAAGTATGGGAATAAGTTTTTTTAAAATGTATATTATAGACAGTAGATTTCTACTGTAAATATTAATTTAAGATTAATATGAAGATTTTAAGAAAAGAGTGTTATTATTTAACTCTCATTGTCTGAGTTTTATAAAACTAAAAGGAAGTACACACTCATGATTATTACTGAAATATAACTCAATATGATATAACACGTGTCTCAGAATATCAGTTCTTGGCCCAAGTAAAAGGTTTACACCTCCTGAATTATCATCTTTAAAACCAGTAAATTCTAAAACATGAACTCACTTATGTTTGTCTTAGACGTGCTCCAAAATAACGATATCATTCAACAATGTCATCTCAGTTCCGACATTCAACACAATGACCAAATGTGGTCAAACAAAGACAGATTTTCCCAAAGCTTTTCATTTCTCTGCTCTGGATTAATGCACTTCTAATCTATATATGTTTATCATGATAAGAAATCAGAAGTAACAACACAGATTGCAGGTAGGATTTCAGGCTAACAATGTTATGTGAAGAATTTTGGGATAAGAAAAGAGCAAATACAGGAATGTCTCATTACTGGCAATCAGTTCTTCCCAGTGCCCCTACTGCACAGTTCTCTCTGTTTTTGTCAGTTCACAGTATATAATAATAACAATATAAAAATATAAAATATAATAGAATCATAGAATCATAGAATAGTTAGGGTTGGAACTGTCCTTAAGATCATCTAGTTCCAGCCCTCTTGCCATGGGCAGGGACACCTCCCACTAAACCATGTCACCCAAGGCTCTGTCCAGCCTGGACTTGAACACTGCCAAGGATCGAGCATTCATAGATTCCCTGGGGTATCCATTCCAGTGCCTCACCACCCTTACAGTAAAGAACTTCTTCTATAATACATAATGTATATTATATAATAAATATATAACATATAATAAATATATACTATATAACAACAATAATAATATATTTTCTATAAAACATAATCTACATACAGTTGAAAGAGGAGCAGTACCATATTATTGAACTGATGTTTTATGTGAAGGCAGCACTTTATTTTATCCATTTAATAGTGCAGGTCCCTCAGTCAGGGGGATTATTTTCAAGAATGGTGCTAGTTTTGGAAGCTGTTACAGAGCTTGGCAGCCAAACAGGTGGCATGCAAGCACTCTTCATAGAATCATAGAATAGTTACGGTTGGAAAGGACCTTAAGATCATCAAGTTCAAACCCCCCTGCCATGGGCAGGGACACCTCCCACTAAACCATGTCACCCAAAGCTCTGTCAACAGCTGATTTATTTCTCTCAAGTTCTCCCACGTCTTCACTATTTTATATTACATTATCCATGGGGATGAGATATCATCTGGGATCATAAAAGAGGAGAAGTTCTCTGGAGGTGTCCTCTTGCAGGGCTCTGTTAGATGCGGTCAGCTATGGCGGTTTCACAGAGGGAGTTCACCTGAGGCTTCATGTACCACAAGCACCCAGAAATGCAGCTTACCACAGTAGTATTTAACCCAGGAGAACACAAATGAGGGTAAGTGCTTTGTATCTGAAGGATGTCTGATGTCTATGCTGGCTGCCTTCACAATCCTGAAGGCAGGAAACCTGCTAGTCAGGTGCAGATGCTAAGAATAGTCATATATACCCAAACCAAAAGTTGGGGTACAAATTTTTGAATGCTCAGGACACAGATTGCTCAGGGAATGGGTATTCTGGTGGTGGATATGGCTTGCATGCGTATTACAACACAGAAAGCATAAGAGGATTGGGGGTTAGTTTGGAAATATGATTTGGTAAAAGAAAGGGATAGCTGCCTGGCTTGGAAAAATGTGGATGTTGCATCGTAAGAGGACATGAAAACAATATGTCTTTTAGCAAGGGAATGTGTCCTTAAGGGTGGAAATTTGACCTCTTCAGGTTTAGAATGTAATGTGAATTCTTCCTAGAAAATAACACCAATGACACTTCTTTCAAACAAATGAATTGCTCTGAAAAGTTGTTTTTCCCTTTTTTTTTTTTTTTTTTTTTTTTTAAGTTACATTTCTCTCCATACCCAGCCAGGTAGATGACTAACTGATCATTTTATTTGATTTGTATTATCTAAGACCACCCTTATGCTTGCTTGCCTTATCTGTGATTGCTGCTCTTTATTTTTGCTGTATTTAGAAGAATCTGTGCATGTCTAGTATTTCAATAACCAAAGCTATTTCAGTTTACTTTATGGATCCTAATAAGTGGATTAAGTACAACAAAGACACCAGAAGGAAGACAGCAAGAGAAGAGCATAAAAGATTGGATTAAATCAGTGGGAGGACAAGGCTGCAAAACTGCCTGCTGGTACTGAGAATATAAAAAATGTGCACACGCGCTGACCTTGATCACTATATGTGCACAGGTGAGTAAGAAAAAATATATGTCCTTGTTTTGTCCACCCACCTGTGAGAATTGGATTTATTACATATCATAAAGAGTTTGACATTCCTGTTACATCATTACTACATACACACTTAATTTTATTGATTACTTCCAAGAGCTGTTGAATCAGTATTTGAGCAAGAGATGACATAACAGGCAGATAATGAAGGCACTGAAGACACTGACAGATAGTATTATTACGCCCTATGAGTTTTGTGACTTCTTTAAGGACTTTGGTAAGCCTCAGTGTTTATTAGTTGTTGACAAAAGCACAGCTATTACTACTGTATTATTCCACTTATTTCAAACAGATTCAAATGATAACCATGTATTTTGTAAAGACAGAACAAAGATCTCTAGGTTTCAGTTCCAGTCCACATGGAATACAAACTGGAAAAGGAACTTCTAAGTTTAGTTTTATATCTTGCAAGTATACCAGGGTTTGGCTGCCATATTTTGGCTCAGAAGAACAAACGTATTAGCATTGCACAGCTTGCTAAGACTGTTATAAACATGCAGAGATAAATTATCAGCTATGGTATGAAAGCTCCTTCAGCTATAAACTTTTATTTGGCCTTCTCTTTCTGACTGTCACTTGCACAAAGAGAAGAATAAGCTAAAATGGTGCTCTTACCCTGCAAGCATAAAAAACCCTATCTATGAAGCCAGTAGTCAGAGCCAGATAATTGCAACTCTATCTACCAATTGTACTTACTTCTTTTAACAGTGTTCTACAGGGACATGGAAGAATCAGATGGCTTTTCACTTTGAGTGATCAGCTTGAGTGATATGAAATGCAACTATCTACTGCTAAATCTGAAACACTTTTAAATGGTACGTTGACAGATGCAAACTTTGCTAATGCATGAGAAACTCATCTGAAAATTTGGTTCTGGAGATGCTTGTCTAAAAGCAGCCAACTAAATTCACCCATTCCAGCAAATATTAAAATAGATTTCCAACAGCAGTTAGACTGTCCAATACTGTCACGCAGGCAAAATCTTAACTCTTATTTAACATCATCTTGTAAACGTTTTTCAAAATTTCAAGATGTTCAGTAGTAAATTGCCAGACTTTAGCAATCAAAACCCACGTTAATAAAAATACAGATTATGGTTTATTGATGCTAGAGATTAATGATGCTGTAAAGAGAGAGCTTTGCTTGCACTCTCCTCAATTTGCCATATCTCTCACAAGTATTAATATGGAAAAAATATCTTCTCAGATGGATACAGTAAAACTAAAAAAGAAATATGTTTCCCTGACCACTCTCCTGACCTGTTTTAAAGAGAACAGGATTACCTGAAAAATTGCTGTAGAGATTAATTGCAAAATAGATCACATTGTACCACTCTACCACCCTGAAATTACTGAAGATTTGAGGCTACAAGTCAGTGAGGAAAGCATACTGAATGCACTCAGATAAATATGCAGGGCTCTTAAGTTCTATGTGTAACAGACAAGAAGTGTATGAGACCAGCAATATTTAGTTGAAATTATTAAAATATGGCTCAAAATATTCTAGCACCACCATGATTTCTTTCCTCTCTTTCTTCAAAGAAATATTTAGCCCAAGAGCAAAAGAGCAAGTGCAGTGAAGAAAGACATACAAACTATCTCTCTGCTCCCAAGGTGAAGAAATTATTAAAATATAATTCCATCTTTTCTTTTCTACTGAGTGTAAAAGGAACCAAAAATGAGAAGAAAAGGGAAATTCTGAATTAAAATATGCTTGGGAAAAAAAGTCTTATCTTTCAGGTGTCTACAGTTTAGCTAAGGGAGATAAAGCATCCACAACAATCATGGAAGTACTAATCTTTTTTTTTTTTTTTTTAAACTTTTTTTTAAGCAACGTTGAAAATTCATGTTATATGGTGTGTAGTCTAAGAATATCTACTTGTATAAAGATAACTTTTAATTTCTCAGTAGTGGATACTGTGTTCAGGTACATAAGCTATATACAGCTTTTCCAAGTACAAAATATTTCAGCTGTTATTTACCATACCAGTTTTCCACAACAGATTACTTTTTCAAAGAAAATTTTAGCAAAAATGGTTTAGTCACTCCTGAGACTCTGCAATTTGGAAGAAATATTAGATTCTTTTTACTGTGAAATCTGCCCACATTTGTTCACAGGAAAATTTACATGGAAAATGTATATTATATAATATCTTTTACACTAGAGCCAAAAGACAACTCAGGTTAGGTTTGCTGATGAAATACTGAATAATTTACCAATACAGATGTATAAAGAAAGACATATTGAATTTGTTGCAACTTTATGGTAAGCAGGGAAGGCTAGGGATTTTCTTCTTACAACTTTTTTCATCACAGGACAGAACCAGTACAGATTAAGGTATTACAGCCAAACCTCCAGATGATGATTCAAACTACAGTCCTGAAGTAGAAACTGCTGAAATTCAGATGGGAATCCGAATTCTAAGTTTCACAATTTTATTTGATTGCTAGAGGAAAGGAATAAAAAGACACCAGTAATATGTCATCTATTGTAGTTACTGGATGCCTCCACAACTTAATTACAGATCCTTAAAAGGACTGAGTGCTCTTATTTCATGGTAGAAACATTAGGTTACAGGAATTGTTTGGCCTCTTGCAAGAATATTCCCTTTTTTAAGTTACTAAAGTTTACATAATCTTTTATTTTATTGCTAAACCTTAAGCTCATATTTGTTTAAAATGTATATGACACAGCAGCTTGAAAATGTATTTAGCATTTAAATAATTTTATTTTTCCTTTATCATTTTAAAAGCAGATTTTAGGTATATCTATTATAGGTTGACTAAACAACTTCACAGAAATCATCTTTCTGAAACAATAAAACAGCATCCTAACACAACTCAGTAACAGGCTTGTACAAATACTGTAATAAATCTATAAATACTACATTACTTCCGTTTACTGTGAAGTTTCTAGAAAACGGGAAAAAATATAAACTGTGTTGTGAAGTTCATCATATGCGTGAGCAGCAGTAAGTGGAATTTTTGATGCCTTGATAGGTATTCCATTTAAATTTTTACGAAACTGAGAAAGAGGCTATTACTTACCTTTGTCTCTATTTGTTTGGTGTCTAGATTCTGAAACAGCAGCTTTACTTTTGTTTTCCCATCATCTGAAGACCCTTTTAGCTGAGAGAATTTAAACCTCCACAGCACATTCTAAAGAGAAAGAAATTTGATTAAGGACTCTGTTACACACTTTTACCAACTGTAAATTGATGATGGAAGATTATATGAGATAAAGCATTAAGGAAATAAACATAGCACATGATAACAGGCTGGTTGCAGAGCAAATAAAATTAAGAACTCTGTGTCATAGTTGAAAGCGAAAGACTATTTATAGTCATTAATTAAATAATCATTTAGAAATCATCTGAAATGTAAATATTTCAATTGCCTACGCAATATCAAAATCACACAATCACAGAATCCATGGCATTTAGAAAGATCCTTGATGATATCTGTATCTGCTTCACTATGAACATAGTTCTATGCCATATCTTGATCTTTCGTATTTCACCTAGTTCATCTGCATAATATAATAATGTCTTACATAGATATTGCAAAGCTGAATTTACTAATGTGTATAACGTGATTTGAAATCCTAAGCTAAAATAAGCTACAGAAATTCAAAGATATTATTATTGAATGTAGCCTTGCAAACCATAAAAATACTTTTTTACATTCCATGGAGAAATATATGAGAATTCTAGGCTTTTTGGTAACCTCTGGGTTTATGCATGACATCTAACTACTGTTGGCAAGTCCTAGATTGACAGGTATGTTTTAGTAGTTATGGTGATACTTCTTAAAGACAAATAATTTTTGAAGACAAATAATTTTTGAAACCAATGTAGTTTTCTATATTTATTTGAATGTTTTCTATTGATCACCTAAAAACATATAAAAAAAATACAAGGTAACAATTTGCACCCAGACCTCCCGCTGATATTTCCTTTGTGACTTAATCTCAATGAAAATTCTATGCACCTGTTGAAATGTTATTTAGCCCCTGGACACTGCTGAAGAAACACAATTTAAATGCTTTGAAGGGGATTTCAAAAGTACACACAGAAAAAAAGTGTGCTATGTCCCATTTTCCAATATAACATATTGCAAAATATTTTTTTTTTATATAGATCAGTGCTACCAGTGGTCTTGAGACACTACTCATAGTTTTAAAGAAAATGCCCTATGAACAAAAAAGTGTTTGCAGAAGGCACAAAAAGCCTCATTCCATCTCCCTGGTTCCCTGAAGACATAAACATCATTGACTTCTTAAACAAATACAAGAGATGAAGAAAAACCCAACTATGCTACAGCATGTTGATGGTGCTTAAACTTTGCATTCATGAACAGATTTTAACTGAGTCCAGTCCTAATTAGACCATGCACTAAGTATTCAAAGCTTAAATGAATTTGGATCTAAATAGGATAGATGAATATCCACTATATAACTGCTTGGGTGGAGATGAAAGAACTTAGGAACAATTTAGCAATAATAGGCATTGCTGGAGTAATCATCTCTCTCAACAGTTGACAATGAGTGGAAAAGAAGAGAAGTAGATGGCTCTGGAAGGCAGAAGAAAATGCATACTTTGGGATCCTTTTATCTTGGATGAGTGGCTGGAGGCACAGGATGGAGAAGATGAACCAGCCAAGCCAAGATAAAAAGAAGCTCTATGATCAGATATTAAGCAGCTGCAGGCCACAAGAGTATCTTTGTGATGGGCCCAAAATGGCAAAATGAGTTAAGCCTGGAACACAACATGTAGGAATGGATGATCCTGGAACAGAAAATGTAGGAAAAGAAGTAATTCTTTCAAATAAGTTTAAGAATCCCCTTGAACATCTTGTGTTGTGTTTGCATAGCAAGGTTTTGGTAGTGGGAGAGGCTACAGGGGTGGCTTCTGTAAGAAGCTTCTTGAAGCTTCCCCTATGTTCTATAAAGCCAATGCTAGATGGTTCCAAGACAGACCTGCTGCTGGCCAAGGCTGAGCCCATCAGCAACAGCGGTAGTGCCTCTCGATAAAATATTTAAGAAAGAGAAAAAAAAGCATTCAACCAAACAAAAAAGCCCCAAAGGTAAACAACAAACCAAGGTGGAACAGCAGCTGAAGAGAGGAGTCACAATACATGAGAGAAACAGCTCTGCAGACACCAAGGTCAGTGAGAAAGGAGGGGCAGGAAGCGCTCCGAGTGCCAGAGCAGAGACTCCACTGCAGCTCATGGTAAGGAAGGTTGTCCCTCTGCAACCCATGGCAGAGCAGATCTCCACCTGCAGCCCATGGAGGACCCCATGCTGGAGGAGAAGGATGCCCGAAGGAGGCTGCGACCTGTGGGAAGCCTGCACTGGAGCAAGCTCCTGGCAGGACCTGTGGCCCCTGTGGACAAAAGAGCCCGTGCTGGAGCGGGTTTGCTGCAGGACTTGTGACCCTGGGGGGACCCACACTGAAGCAGACTTCCTGAACATGGGATGGATCCTACTCTGGAGCTGGGAAGATTGAGGAGTCCTCCTTCTGAGGAGGAAGGAGTGGCAGAGAAAATGAGTGATGAACTGACTGCAGTTCAGGAACTAACATTCCATCATACTTGTCCATCATATTTGAAAAATCATGGCAGTCAGGTGAAGTTCCCGATGACTGGAAAAGGGAAATATAACCTCCATTTTCAAGAAGGGGAATATGGATGACCCAGGGAATTACAGAGCAGTCAGTCTCCCCTCTGTGCCTGGCAAAATCTTGGAGCAGATTCTCCTGGAAGGCACACTAAGGCACATGAAAAACAACAAGGTGCTTGGTGGCAGCCAGCATGGCTTCACTAAGGGGAAATCCTGCCTGAACAATTTGGTGGCCCTGTATGATGGGGCTACAGAACTGATGGACAGGGGTAGAGCAGTTGATGTCATCTACCTGGACTTATGCAAAGCGTTTGACACTGTCCCACATGACTTCCTTGTCTCTAAATTGGAGAGACATCAATTTGATGGATGGACCACTCGGTGGATAAGGAACTGGCTGGATCGCCGCACACAAAGAGTTGTGGTCAATGGCTCAATGTCCGGCTGGAGACCAGTAACGAGTGGTGTCCCTCAGGGATCGGTGTTGGGACCGGTCTTGTTCAACATCTTTGTTGCTGACATGGACAGTGGGATTGAGTGCGCCCTCAGCAAGTTTGCCGATGACACCAAGCTGTGTGGTTCGGTTGATAACGCTGGAGGGAAGAAATGCCATCCAGAGGGACCTTGACACGCTTGTGAGGTGGGCTGATGCCAGCATTATGAAGCTTAACCATGCCAAGTGCAAGGTCCTACACCTGGGTTGGAGCAATCCCAGGCACAGCTACAGGTTGGGCAAAGAAGTGGTTCAGAGAAGCCCTGAGGAGAAGGACTTGGGGGTGTTGGTCGATGAGAAAACCAACATGAACCGGCTTCAGTGTGCACTTGCAGCCCAGAAAGCCAACGATATCCCGGACTGCATCAAAAGGAGCGTGACCAGCAGGTCGAAGAAGGTGATCCTGCCCCTCTACTCTGCTCTCGTGCTACCTCACTTGGAGTATTGTGTACAGTTCTGGTGTCCTCAACATAAAAAGGACATGGAACTGTTGGAACAAGTCCAGAGAAGGGCCACGAGGATGATCAGGGGACTGGAGCACCTCCCGTATGAAGACAGGCTGAGGAAGTTGGGGCTGTTCAGCCTGGAGAAGAGAAGGCTGCGTGGAGACCTCATAGCAGCCTTCCAGTATCTGAAGGGGGCCTATAGGGATGCTGGGAGGGACTCTTCATTAGGGACTGTAGTGATAGGACAAGGGGTAACGGGTTAAAACTTAAACAGGGGAAGTTTAGATTGGATATAAGGAGGAAATTCTTTCCTGTTAGAGTGGTGAGGCACTGGAATGGGTTGCCCAGGGAGGTTGTGAATGCTCCATCCCTGGCAGGGTTCAAGGCCAGGTTGGACGAAGCCTTGGGTGATATGGTTTAGTGTGAGGTGTCCCTGCCCATGGCAGGGGGGGTGGAACTAGATGATCTTAAGGTCCTTTCCAACCCTGACTATTCTATGATTCTATGATTCCCCAACCCCCTGTGCCACTGGTGGGGAGAGGTAGAGAAAATTGGGAATAAAGTTAAGACTTGGAAGAAGGGAAGGGTGGGGAGAAGGTGTTTTAAGATTTGGTTTTATTTTATTATTATCCTACTATGATTTTTTTTGTAATAAATTAATTTCTCGAAATTGAGCCTGTTTTGCCCATGATAGTAATCAGTGAATGACCTCTGCCTGACCTTATTTCAATTCATAAGCCTTTCAACGTGTTTTTCTCCCCATGTCCAGTTGAGGAGGGGAGTGATAGACCGGCTTTGGTGGGAACCTGGTGTTTAACCCATCATACTCCTAAGCAAAAGTTCTTACCTTTTTTGTTTCATTATTTCTAATATGAAGGCCCTTTTTATATTATTTCCCAGACTGTAAAAAAGAATATTTTTAATGAGCACATGAGCTGGTTGCCAAAAATTTGAGTTCCAGTCTCAGAGTCCTAGAGCAGACAAGGGACTGGCCTTTATTTTAATAAGCCTGTATGAACACCTGCTGTGGTGTAAGAGCATTCTTTGCATCAGTAGGTGATTTTAATTTGAAATTCATTATCTCAAACAAAAAAATATTTTTTCAGCACAATTTCTGTGTCCCTGATGAACTGTTAATTGCTTGACCGCTTCACCAATCTATTCAGTGGTGCTAGGAAATACTCTGAAAAACCTGTAAGTATGGGGCAACACAGTTATCTCCAGCTGACAATTATCAGAAGTAAGATGAACTGCAGAAACAACCCTCACTCAGATGCCTCACTCAGGCTTGACGATGCACCATCTCTCACACAGATTAAATATAAAGGTACTTGTACGCACAAAAACTAGATGCTGTGTCAGCTTTTAAAAATTCAGTATGTTTCCTGTTATCTCAGAATGACTGACTGAATTTCTTTAATATATCTTTAAAAAATCCTTTCAGTTTGGAGTTAAAGGCCATATTTCAGATGACAGATCTTTTACTGTAGAGCTCTATTAATACAGTAACATTTTATGCATGCAAGTTTGCTTCTACTGGCAATAAAATGTATAAATCCATTTATAATAATTTAAATAAAAGTATCACTAGATTATATAGAAAACAGTAGAATTATAGACAGGGTTTAGAAGTTGACATGCATCATAAACTACCCCTGTAGCACTTTATATATAGCCACTGTTTTGCATTATAGGTGATTTTAATATTAAAAATTGACTTTGAAATGCATTTGTTCTTGTTCTGCTTATTTTAGACATGGCCTACATTTCTTATGATGGAAGAATAATTGAAACTACTTTATATTTGTAGCTTCGAAACAAAATCAGGTGATACTTCATTTCTTTCATGACTGGTAATCTTTTAAAAATCTTGAAGTTTCTTCATTATAAGAAACCAAGTTCTCTGCTAAATATCACCTTTCTTTGCTTTTATTACTTGAAAATTACTTTTTTTATATCTTTCTCCAAAATTTATCTCTACATGCTAAGGCACAACTATAATTATGCCAAACTCAACACCTTTCAGTAATGCTGTATAAATAAAAAGTTCACTACTTTTGAGGAAGAAATGTTCATCAACATAAAAAAATGACTGTTATTAATCAACATAAAAATTTATTGTTAATAAGAATTTCAACAATAGTAAAATAAAAAAGAGTTGTGCTTTCTTTCCTTTTAATTCTTACCTTTGTTTTACTGTCAAAACAGGTAAATCCCAGAGCAAAGTCTACTGTGAAACACAGGCTATCCCCTTGCCAACTGCACATATATGTTTTAGACTGGAAAAAAAAAGTTTTTGAAAGAACAACCATCATTACCATTTATCACATAATGTTTTATATAGTTTTTTTTCTCTGTGGGAAGACAGTCAGATGGCAACACTGGTACTGCTTTATCTTATTGCATTTTAAAATTGTCAAAACCTTCTGTCTGTAAGTCAGTATTAGATCTACCAGCCAGACATTAACTGGAAGTCTTCTTTACTTCAAGTCACTCTTCCACAAAATACATACCATATTCTTGGAAAGCATCCCTTATAAAATACAGCAGAAGAATCAAAGCCAAACTGACTATTTAAAACTTTTGGAAAACTGCTTAGATCTGGACTATTAATGACTTCTGACAGAATTTCCAGCATATGTGCAGGTAACAATGCCTAAATGTTTAGTCATTGTGATCAAATTATGAAAAAGCTATCTGCCTACTTGACCTCTCTATCAGTTTTAAACTTTGTAGACAGTCTATTTAGTTTGCAGTGTTTTTTCATTTGTCAACTTGGTGACATGCCAGTGCAGCACCATGTTAATTAATGCTAAAGGAATTCAATAATAAGAACTAATCATTATCACTCATTAGTTAGCATTGATACTTGCTAGACACTGCTATATATATATAGCAATTCTTTGATTGCCTTTCAGGTTAGAAAGAAAAAGTCTGATTTATTAACAAAACCTAGAAGTTTTATTTAAACTTCTGAATAGGCTTTACAGTAAAAGTCAATTAACATCCTTCTTTACATATGTTTATAATGCTAGCTAAATTGGGTATGTGATGGTATGTGAAAGCACGTGAAAAATTTTCTGCTGCTGATAAACTATGAAACAGCTTGATGACATGCACCATTCAGAGTTAATGACAAAAAAGCTCATTGGTTTCAGAATGAGATCAGATCCTGCCTCCACCCTTTCCTTGTCACCCCTTACTACCTATTTTTAAAATGACAACCTTGTGTCTTATGAAATCTATCTTTCTTATTTTTTTTCTCTTCCAAAGCAGCATTGTTTTGCTCTTATTGATATTTCAGAAACCACGGAGTTACCTCACATTTAGACATTTGTTTACATGAATTTTTCACATTTGAATAGTTTCCTTATATTAAAAAAAAAAGGTTTTAACACAATAATGGCCTAGAAGAGGTTAAAAGCATTTATAAACTTGCTTAAGTTGAAAACTGGCATTTTAATTTTTTTTTATAGATTTATGGTACAATCTAGAACTTCTTCATTTAGTAATTGTAAAGGTTTCCTTGTTTCACTATTAATAAAAACATTTAAGGTTACAATAAAATAAGCATTCCTGAGTTAGAGATATGATATTTTCACAGGGTATTTTAAAGAGTATTGAAAGGGCTGGGAATTAAATTAATTTATTAGTACAGTTTGTATTATAATCACCTTAACAATGACAGTTGTATATATTATTTTAGAATAAATGATTTTTCTCACTGGTGTTCAGAGATCATATTATTTGGCATTTAAAAAGATTTCAGTGATTGATATTCAAGAAGAACAATGTTTAACTATCCCTGCGTTTTGGTTAGTAATTATAAGGTGACATTACGCACCAGTCACAACTTATTCTCCATTATTTTCCAGTTAAAAAGGTTATACTATCTGAGCTCTGATTCAGCAAAGCAATTTTTAAAATGTGTTAAATTAGATTCACTGAATGGGTAAGCATCTACTTGCTAGGCCACAAATGGTGACTACTAAAATGAACTATACACAAATAATTAGCCGGGCGTATTTTACAAATATCCAATATTTGCAAACAATGGCACTGGCTGGGAAATTATTTGCAGACAAGTACTACAGCCAAACAGAATATGGTTCATTTTCACTGTGATAAACATTAAAAATAGATATATAAGGTTTATACTTACAAAATACACTAACAGAAATTTCTTCACAGCAGAATTAGTTTGGGGTTTGCTGTACAAATTTAAAAGCCTGCCTACAGCATTTTCTCAATAACTTTGAAAAGGTTCTCAGACAGCTTTGCGATAAATACTCCCATCTCCACACATTAACACTACTACAGAGCACTGCGCCTTTCGACTCCTGCTTTTGGAATAAGCTTCTCATACACTTGCAATTGTGTGATCGCCCTTGGTTGCCTGCAACAACTGTTTACATGGAAGCTTAACACAAGTCTAGGCCTGGCTCTCTTTTAGTGTATTCTGCAGGAAGTAAAATAACACTGCATGTTAGCTGGATTGAGAACTCACAGTTTAAGCAACAGAGAGGAGAATAATAGGTTACATAAAAATCCTTCCATACCTATTTGAAATTAGATTTTTCTGTGCTTAGGTCTAATACTAGTTTATCACAAAATACTTGGGGATTATAAGTAGAAGTAGATGAGAATCTACAAGGTTATCACCCTTAAAATATGCACTAAAATATTTTCCAGTCATATAGCTATACCCTAATAACCACATTAAATTTACGTAGGTCATACACATATGAAAATTTGAAACATTAGCAAATGTGGCACAGTGACCATCTTTGGCTTGTACTGCTTCAGACAAGATGATGTAAAAGTTTTTCCAGCTCTAACCTTGGTGATTTTGAACATTATGGGGACATAGACTATGATTTTAAGCCTGATGAGATTCTTCAGTCAAAGCATTAAGAATTAAGCTGTCAAAACGAAGGCATCATGCCTGAACTGCAACAGCTAAGAAATTTGTAGTATGTAGCCTGTGGCCAGCATGACACTATCATGCTAGGACTGAATTGCGAATACATGGAGTACCATGCAATACTAATACCATTATGCACTAATTAGCATTACCTCACATTCTGGCAAAAACATCTTTGACCAGTCCCAAGTACATGTGTTCTCTGCCTATCTTGTCCTGCCTCCACACTGGGTCCCCTTCACCAGAGCTCATGTGAGAGTGAGCAAGCCTCTGCTCCAAAGCAGAAGAGGAAGGTTAAAAGCAGTTTTCAGTGTTTCCCTCTTGCTAATGAAATTCCTGCTTCTCCTCAGCAAATCACTTATACAAAGCTGAACTCTTGCCTGCACAGTAACTGCAGGGGACCGAGAATCCTGGAGGGAAGTAAGAAGTGTGAGTAGGGCAGAGAGTTAGCAAATGGAGGGTCCTAGAAGCTAAATTAGGGAAAAGAGTGCCTGCATCCAGGAGCAGGAGGTGTTGCTGCCAATGTGCAAGTACTCTTCTACTGCAGCCTTCAGAATAAAAGTCCCTAAATTTACCCTAGGACAAGATTTCAGCCCTTTAGCAAGGTCCCATCAGTTGATCAGTAGCTTGTCTTTCACTCCCATCTACAAAACTCTTGACATTTCCATCCTAGCATGATCGTTCAGTTAGCTAACATTGTGAAGCTTGAGAAGCTTAGTATTTTTGTTGTTGCTCTTGCTATTCATGTCAATTAATATCTTCCATAACTATGCACATGTCTGCAGAAGGCAATTAGCACTGAAGGTTTGGGTTAATTACCTCTTAATGGAAGAAAACCAGAAAGGATTCTTTCATGTCTATCTTCCATCAGTTTTTACAATAGGGAGAGGGCAAGGGACAGGTTGTTTCAGTACTCTAAAACAAAGACCAATCTAGGATTCTAACAATGAGAAGAGACTTTACAAAAACGCTCAATGACAGGCCAATTAATTTTAAAACCAACTTTTATGGGAGGCAATGTGTTTGTGAACAGATCTGCAGCCTAACAAGAAGGGCTTTAAACTTTGTTTATGGGTATTAGGTAAATAAGTCAAGAAGTGAGTAAATGCTAAAACTGGAGATTGAATGCATGGGAAAAGACTACAAGAGGGACTTTGTAATTGTGACTCAGAAGCAAGAGACAAATAGACCTCAAACATCTGTACAGGGAGAGACAGAGCCTGGGCAACAAATGGGGAACATTTCATGTGCAGTCACTGCCCTATAACATGGTGGGAAGCATGAAGACTTGGTGGGTAATAGGCACCATTGCAGCCCAGGCACAGGCTGCTTAGGAAAGAGAGGCAAGGAATTAAAAGAGGATCCCTCCTTCTCTTGAGTTGCATTGTATGTATAGGGATCCATGGCCACACAAACCCATAGTATGAAGCCAGAAGGAAGGGAGAATGCTTGTCATATCAGGTCTCTCAGGAAGGATGAAGGCATACATGTTTGGTTGATTCAGGGACTGTGCAGCCCAAAAGCTTCTAAATAAATCTAGGTATGCAAGAGATTTTTTTGGTAATTGGAATATGAGCTCATTAAACTGCTTTAGCTGGAGGGACTAAATTTTCTTAAGTTCTGTCATAGGTGTCCAATGTAGTGTCTGGATGATTTTTAAGACATAAAATCTTTTAATGTTACTCTAACATAGGATTGTCTTCTGTGCAAGAAATAGAGGTTCCTATTGCATATGTTTTTCAGTAAAATCCTTTAAAAGCATGATTATTAATAATGCTTGTCAGTTCAGAAGTTATATTCTGAGATCATCAACAAATATATATACTAAAAAAATACCATTTTACATAAGTTTTAAAGAATCAGGGTGGTCAGTTACTAACTTTTTCAGTCAATATTCCTAAATTTTCCTCTATTTCTTTGGCAGATAATGTTTCCAAGGAACAAATGAGATTCAGCAATGTTGCTCCTGTAAGAGCAACACAGAAACATGATATAGTGTATATGCCTTTTAATGGAATTTACTTTTATAACTCTAGTGCTGTTCCTAATGCCTTATCAAGCTTACGGTTTCAAATATTCAGTTAATGCAGGGGTATATTGTGGTTAATTATTGTCTTGCATGAATAAAACCCTCTCTTTTCCTCTAATTACAACATACATATGCAATTTATTCATTCATTTTGGACTCAGCTATGTTCCACTGAGAGGAAATCCTAGTGTTTTTAATCAGCCAAAACACAGAAATAAATACTGGGCTTCTATTCGAAATGAATAAAAATTTGGCATGTAGATGATTTTGCTTGTTTATTTTCTAAAAAGCAATTGGAAATTAGGCAATACCATTACACTTTACTG